GGCGTCTCCGACGTCATGCTCGACGACGTCCCCGACGTCGAGCTAGAGCAGTGGGAGCTCGTCGAGGAGAAGGGCCAGCCCATGGCGGACGAGGGCCCAGGTCCCACGTTCGGGGCAGCTGCTGGCGCCGCTGACCTGCGTCGTGACGACGGCCGAGGTCCACAGGCGCGCGGGACGTCGCGGCCGCCAGAGCAGCCGCCGCGGCCGCCCCCTCCCGCCCCCGCGGCAGCCCGCCGTGTCCTTCGGCGAGCTGGTGCGGCGGGGGGCGGGGCCGCCGCCGACCTGCCGCGGGCAGCGCGGCTGAGGCGGCCAGGCGGCTCGCGTGACGGGCCGTTGGCCAGGCCGCAAGCCGTGGTGCCTCACCACAGACCGAGGGCCTGCCCGCCACTTCCCTGTGGGTGGGGGCCCTCGGTCTCGCGCCGCGCCGTGGCGCACCGCCACGCCCGCGACGATCGCGAGCGGCCGAGCGGGGCGGGCGCGGTGTCCCGCCGCCCGACCTCGTTTCGGTGTGCTCCATTCCACTCCACTCCACTCCACTCCACGCCACTCCACTCCACTCCACTCCACTCCACTCCACTCCACTCCACTCCACTCCACTCCAGTCCACTCGACTCCACCCCACTCCACTCCACTCCACTCCACTCCACTCCACTCCACTCCACTCCACTCCACTCCACTCCACTCCACTCCACTCCACTCCACTCCACTCCACTCCACTCCACTCCACTCCACTCCACTCCACTCCACTCCACTCCACTCCACTCCACTCCACTCCACTCCACTCCACTCCACTCCACTCCACTCCACTCCACTCCACTCCACTCCACTCACTCCTCCTCCTCCTCCTCCTCGGAGGAGGAGGAGGCTTCATCAGAACGCGGCGGGGCTTCTCAGAACCCCCCTGCCTTCTGAAGAGTCTTGCGTGCCCGCTGAGAAAGGTCGGACAAGAATCCTTCAGAGGGCCCGAGGCCTTCTGGGCCTTCTCATAAGGCCCGCCCCTTCTTCGGCGCCAGCCCAGCATAGCAATACTATGTGTGCGTCGCCCCCTTCAGGGGCGACGCGCGCGCCGAGAAATCTCGTAGTATAGGAAGCTCCGTGCCGGGCTCTTTCTGTCCATTCCGTCCGGGGAACGATCTACTATACTATGGTTACACAATATGTTCGGGCCGGGCGCCCGCCTCCAAAACTGACCTATCGTACTAGTATTGTCCTTGTGCGTCCCGCTTGCCGCTTCCCTTTTGCGCTCGCCGCCAAGAGGATCCCACGCGGAGCTCCTCCTCGTATTGCGCCTACCCCGGCTTGAACGGCGTCCTCGCCCTCAACCTGCAGGTGCGCCGGCCGCCCGCGCGGCGCGCTCCTCGTGGCCCCAGCGGCGGAGGGGCTCGTGGAGAATTCGGGAGGGGAGACGAGGAAGGGAGGGAGGACAAGGGAGGCAGGGTGGCAGGGTGGCAGGGGGAGGAGGAGGAGGAGGAGGAGGAGGAGGAGGAGGAGGAGGAGGAGGAGGAGGAGGAGGAGGAGGAGGAAGAGGAAGAGTACTCATCAGTAGAAGAACATTAACAAGTAGTAATACGACTTTGTAATACTTATATTACGAATGATCTTACCAAGAATACTAGTATGAACAACACAAAAAATTGAACACTATTATCATTCATGCTACAACTAATAAGGATAATGATGATAAGCGTAAGCATCAGCATACTACTAATGCGAACACTATGAACAATACTAATAAGAATGGGTGTGCGCATATCGGTGCCCCTGGTGTTCTTGACTAGGCGTCGGCAGGTCAGTCTGGCGGGGGAACGCCTGAGTCGCTCGCGCTTGCTCGCGCGGGCATCTGAAAACCACGCGCGTGGAGTTTTGCTTTGCATGGTAGATGGTCAGTCAGATGGGGAGATGTGCGTGCGTGTAGACACGCGCACATGTTTTTTGATTTATACGAGCATACCTATACAAATGCACCATGCGAGGGGGCGTTACATTTTAAGTGAGTAGTTCAGATGATGACGTTGACAAAAAATGCAGGGGCACCAATATGCGCGCGCGCCCATAATAATATTAATAGTAATAAACATAAGCAGAAGCAGGAGCAACAGCATATTAGGAATAATAATAACAAGACTCATAATACTAATATTACGAAGGAAAGAAACATAATAAGACAACTAATCATAATAAGAAATATAAGAGGAGGAGGAGGAGGAGGAGGAGGAGGAGGAGGAGGAGGAGGAGGAGGAGGAGGAGGAGGGAGGAGGAGGATGAGGAGGAGGAGGAGGAGGAGGAGGAGGAGGAGGAAGGAGGAGGAGGAGGAGGAGGAGGAGGAGGAGGAGGAGGAGGAGGAGGAGTGAGGAGGAGGAGGAGGAGGAGGAGGAGGAGGAGGAGGAGGAGGAGGAGGAGGAGAGGAGGAGGAGGAGGAGGGGAGGAAGGAGGAGGAGGAGGAGAACGGAGGAGGAGGAGGAGGAGGGAGGAGGAGGAGGAGGAGGAGGAGGAGGAGGAGGAAACGGAGGAGGAAACGGAGGAGGAAACGGAGGAGGAGGAGGAGGAGGAGGAGGGAGGAGGAGGAGGAGGAGGAGGAGGAGGAGAAGGAGGAGGAGGAGGAGGAGGAGGAGGAGGAGGAGGCAGCGCACATCCATACCAGGCTTTCCAAACCCAACATGCCTGTGCACCGGGAAGCGCGGCTGCCGCCCGTTCCTAGTGCTCCTTGCAACTCGCACGCGTGATAGCCTTGGTGACATTGATTTTGCAGTGCGCAGCAGCAACGTGAGGTGAAGGAGGACGGGCGCCAAGACGCATCAACGGTGTTGCAATGAACTCTCATTCCGAGTTTACTCTTTATATGTACCTGAACGGAGTTGTTCCCCACATCCAAAGTGGGGTTCTTGTTTTCTCTGGACACCCCGCGCAGGAACAGGAACCCACCATCATCATCATCATCACTCATTCCTCACTCACTCACTCACTCATCATCCCTCACTCACTCACTCACTCACTCACTCACTCACTCACTCACTCACTCACTCACTCACTCACTCACTGACTCATCAGCACTCACTCACTCACACGCTCATGAACTCACATATGATGATGATGAGTGTGCGCGTGAGAGAGTGTGATGTTCATCATCATCATCACCAGTCAGTCACTCACTCACTCACTCACGCACTCGCCTTGGACCTCGTCAGTGAGTGAATTGCGAGGAAGTCTCAAGCGGGCACCCCCTCCCTATGGGGCCCGCGGATCATGTTACTAATCCGAGCGGGTCATCCAATTCCTGTAACCTTCGCCACATTTGGGCTGTCGCGCTGCCAGAACGCCATTCCCAGGCCACATTTGTGAGTGAATCGCGAGGAAGTCTCAAGCGGGAACCCCCTCCCTATGGGGCCCGCGGATCATGTTACTAATCCGAGCGGGTCATCCAATTCCTGTAACTGTCCCCTTTTTTGGGCTCTCGCGTTGCCAGATCGCCATTCCCAGGCCACATGTGTGAGTGAATTGCAAGGAAATCTCAAGCGGGAGCCCCCTCCCTATGAGGCCCGCGGTTCATGTTACGAATCCGAGCGGGTCATCCAATTCTTGTAACTGTCGCCACTTTTGGGCTCTCGCTCTGCCAGAACGCCATTCCCAGGCCACATTTTGAATACCCAGAGCCAATTGTAGGCCATTTCGTGTTCTTCGTGCTCCCAGAACACCATTCCCGGGCCACATTTTGAATGCCCCGAGCCAACTGTAGGCCACTTCGTGTTCTTCGTGTTCCCAGAACACTCCCGGGCCAATTTCTGAATGTCCAGAGCCAAAACAGGAGGGCGAGGTCGGGGGCAACGTGGGAAGTGGGGGGAGGGCCCGCGCCAGGGCGAGAAAAAATATACGCAGAAGAGACAGCCAGGACGCTTCACCAACCACGAGGACGACGGTGAGAGCTTTTTCCAGATTCGCCCAGAGGATTCTCATGTGGGGTCCTTCCGTCGGAATAATTTTCATTGCTGGAACTGCTCCATTGGGAGTCAGGTCTGAGAATCTTCAGTCGTGTCAAAGCGCAATTCCTGCGGCTTTAGTGCTGCACATCTACATGGCTGTTGCGTCCTGACACTCCTTCATCGCGCCAGAACAGAGTTCGTGGAATTCCAGCGCCGCAAATCAACGTGACTGTTGCTTCCAAACAACACTGTTTCGCGCCAGGACATGATTATAGGGACTGCGACCATAATATAACAATCCTTGAAACTCTTTGCAGATTTCTAAGACGAGTGTGCGGCGCTGATGCGAAAACCACATTTTGAGAAGGACCCGCCCTCACTCTTTGAACTGCTGCAAACTTACCGAAACGAAGGTGCGTGGCGCTGAGGCGAGAGCCACATTTTGAAAACGACCCGCCCTGCATACGTGAAACTGCTGCAAAGTTTCAACGCGCATGTGCGCGACGTTCAGGCGATAGCTACATTTTCAAATGGACCCGTGAACTTAGTTGAGACTTCTAAGACGAGTGTGCACAGCGCCGATGCGAGAGCCACTTTTGGAGAAGGACCCTCCCTTACTCCTTGAAGCTGCTGCAAACTTTAGAAACGAATGTGCGCGGCGCTGAGGCGAGAGCCACACCGCTGTACGAATGCGTATGGGGGCGCGGCAGGGTTCTTTTATATGCGGAAGGGATGGAGGAGAAGCAGGAGGAGGTGGAGGAAGAGTAAGAGGAGCCTGGCACACACACACACACACACCCTTTATGGCGCGTGGTGGACGCTCGGCCGGTACGAGTGACCTCGGTGGACACTTGCGGGGTGCCGGGTTTGCGGATTCAGCGAGGAGCAGGAGGACGAAGAGATGGAGGAAGAGTAGGAGGCGGAGGAGGAGTAGGAGGAGGAGGAGGAGGAGGAGGAGGAGGAGAAGGAGGAGGAGGATGTGGAGGAGGAGGAGGAGGAGGAGGAGGAGGATGAGGGGGGAGGAACAGGATGAAACGAAGATGAATGGGATTAAAAACCTTTCCTTCTCCTCATCCGCAGCCGTTTTGGCTCAAGACTCGAAGTCCCCGTCGCGGGATTTCGAACTGATTCCGCCGCCGTGCGTTGACCGTCAGGGGGGCGCCCGGCGCCCGACACATCCGTCGGTCCGTCTCCCGTTCCCGCACATGAGCATGCCCACGCGTTGTGTGATTCCTTTCCCCATCACAGTGCACAACTGTCTGTGTCTGTTGCACTGTTACTGACGAGCTATGCGTGCAGATATCGGAACGCGTATGGCACACATTGAGTCAGTAAGTTTTACGGCATGTCGAGGCGCTCCAGGCGTTTGCCACGCAGGAGGCGGCAGGTGGCACTGGTGCTGTTGGTTCTCTTGATGTCTCTTGGCGGCGATGGCGGTCGCGGACGCTGGCGTGATACAGGAAGGGCTTAAGAGGACACGGGGAGCAGATCTCGCAGCTCCGACTTCCACGGCCGAATCGACAACGCCATCAGGCAGAACGTCGACAATACCAAGACAGATCTGCTGCAACCAATTCTGGCATTCCATGTAGCACTTTGACAGCGCGACTACAGTGCTCATGCGTCATGCGGAACATTACCCAGACTTGTGGAGACACGTTTGTCAGCAGTTGAAAATGAACCGAAAGTACGAACACCGAGATCTCTTTGCTGGCGTCGCAGGTCAAACGATTGGACGACATCTTGGGGATACAATGAAAGTCCAGAAGTGTTGGTGAAATAATTTCGCCTTCCTTCGGTGGCCTGTTCGACTCCTCGATATTGGCCATCAAATCAAGAAATGAAGCGAAGCAGGATGCGGTGTCACAGTCTGTGGTCAAACCTGTTGTTGAATGGAACATCATCCCCGGATGGGCGAATATTTGTGCTTCGCTTTCGTGGAAGCACCGCGTGCGCTTCGAGAATTATCAGCCAGATCATCGGCAGCTTCAAGATCAGTTCGCTGGGATGACATAGGGTCTCAGCTACTCGTGCACAAGGCACACCATACGAGTGTTATGTGTCACCAGGCAAGTCACCAGCGATGCTCGAAACACGCCAAGCAGCTCAAGCGCGCCGTCGCCGATTTATGTCCGGAACTCAGCGTGCACGCTATCAAGGCCACATGCGAGATTCTGTTCCGTTTGAAGTCGCTCGTCAGGGGGTCGCCGAAGGCGGGGTATGAGTTACGAACCGTCGACCATGCGAAAGAGGACCTGCGTGAGTTTGGCATCGACAAGTCCTAGCTCGAGGCGAATGTGGCCATGTTCTCGCGGCCGCCTGAGCCTGCGATGGGGCGTCCTTCACTTGCTCTTTGCTGCGTGAATCAGCTCATCCTCTTCCGTTTCTCCCATCTCGGTCTGATCCCGGAGTTGCGAGGCGCTGTTCCACCAAGGGCAGCAGGTGGGGTCAAGGAAGTTCGGGCGCCCAGGTTCTTTCCTGAAAGACGGTCCAGGAATCTCACGGCACCGCTGCTGAAGTCCAGGTCTTCTTTTTGCACTAGGGAGCCGGCCCCCGATTGCACGTGCACCGCCCCCTCCGGGCCTTCGTCTCGCTCTACCCTCCATCTCCTCGTGCAGCAGGCGGATTTGTTGCGACTCTGCCAGATTTTCGAGAAGACATACGCGGTGCCAACGGGCGCCTCGTGAACACCATGAACGAGCTGGAGTTGGACATAGTTCTGAATGTTCGACTGTTGTTGCCGCGTAGGGTCTGTGCTTCATATTTAAAGGTTCTTGGCGCTTCACGTGTCCCCACCAGCCCATTCAGAAATGATGCCCGCGAGAGCTGGCGGGGGGAGAGAGGAAGAGACGCGCGTAGTCAAGTAGCGAGGGAGGCCAGTCTGGACGGCGTGTTAGGGCCGTCTCAGGGCCCGCGTGGGGGGTGGGGGGGGCGACGAAGAGGAGGAGAAGGAGGAGGAGGAGGAGGAGGCGGAGGAGGAGGAGGAGGAGGAAGAGGAGGAGGAGGAGGAGGAGGAGAAAGGGAAGAAGGAAGAGGAAGAGGAGGAGGAGGAGGAGGAGGAGGAGGAGGAGGAGGAAGGAGGAGGAGGAGGAAAAAAAAAAAAAAAAGGGGGAGGGAATGAGGAGGGGGAGGAGCAGAGGAGCAAGACGAGGAAAGGGAGGTGAAGGGAGAAGGACCAGGATTATGAACGTGAGGAGGAGGGAGGAGATGAGGAGAGGAGGAGAGGGGGGGGGGAGGAGGAGGAGGATGAGGGAGGAGGAGGGGAGGAGGATGAGAGAGGAGGTGAGGTGGAGTGGAGGTGGAGGATGGAGGGGAGGAGTAGAGAGAGGAGGTAGGAAGGAGGAGGAGGATGGGACGAGCAGGAGGAGGAGGCGGAGATGATGATGATGATGATGAAGATGATGATGATGAGGATGAGGAGGAGGAGGATGAGGAGGAGAGGAGGAGGAGGAGGAGAAAGAAGAGGAACGATGGGGAGGATGGGAACTAGGAGGAGAGGAGTATGACGTATGTGGAATGAGGAGGAGGAGGGGGAGGAGGAGGCGTATGACAGTAGAGGAGGGGATGAGAAGGGACTGATGATGATAGTAGGCTTTATGATGATGAGGTTATTATGAGGAGGAGGAGTTAGTAGGGAGAAGGTTGATGAGGGAGGAGTAGGAGGTCACGATCCTCTTGATGGCCCCCCCCCCCCCACCCCAGACCCCCCCCTGGGCCGCTTGGCCCCCCCCCCCGCCGGGACCTGCATCCAGGGCCCCCCCCTTCCCGCCAGGGAAGGGATCCAGGGAGGGCTTATAGACCCAGAGGGTATGCTACCCTCGGCCTACCCCTAGCTACCCCCTAGGCTACCCCTTAGGCTACCCCCGTAGGGCCTACCCTGGGCCACCCCCCTAGTCCTACCCCTAGGCCTACCCCTAGGCCTACCCCCTAGGCCTACCCCGTAGGCCTACCCCCGTAGGCCTTCCCCCTTCCCCCCCCCCAGGTTCTATACCAGGGAGGGGCTCCCCGCCGAGCCAGCCACGACGCTGCTCGACTTCGTTTTTTGGCCAGAGATCGCTCGAGGAGCAGGGCTCGGAGAAGGGAGGGAGAGCGGCGAGGGCGACGACGACGATTCGAATGGAAAAGCGCCCCGCACGCGCAAGTCGGCGGATGTCTTTCTTATACTTCATGCCCGGATTCCATTTCTTGGGGCCAAAGGGTCGGACTCTTTGCCTTCAGCTCCGATCTTTCCTCTCTCGCACCCTCATCTCGTTTCATCTTCGCACCGCTGTCGATCCAGTCCGGCCATCCCTCCTCTCGTCGTCCGTGCCGTTCGTCAAGAGAGTAGCCCGTCGGGAAAGCGCGGCGTATCAACCTCCACCGCAGGCCCCGCGCCTGCCGCCTGCAGCCAGAGGTGGGCAAGAGTGATCGGACTTCCTCCGGTACGAGCGCACGAGCCCCGCCCTCTCCGGGCCTCCCTCCCTCCCCCGTCCTCCTTCCTCCGCCCCCCCCCCTGCTGTTCCCGCGTCCGCGAGCCTTCGCCCCAGGACAGCAGCACGCTCGTGGGGGGCCCAGGGCGGAGGCATTGCAGCAGCACCCGACTTCTCGTGTCGCCCTTCCCTTTACCTTTCTACTCTGCTCTATGCCCTCCACTCTCTTCCATGTCGTGCCCTTCCTGCTATTCTGTGCCCTCCCCTCCCCTTTTACCTTCCCGTCTTGTGCCGCCGGCTCCGCTCTCTTCTGTGCCCCTCCCTTTGCCTTTTCCTCTCCGCCCCTCTGCTCGAGCCGTGAGAGAGGCACGCGGCACAAAGCGCGCAGTTCTCCCTCGGAGGCCAACGCGCGGGATTTCCTCTCGGAGCGGCGTCGGGCCCCCTCTGGGCGGCGCCCCCTCCGGAGCTGCTTCTCTTGCGCGCGGGGGCCCGGCGCCGACCCAGGAGTTCTGCTCGCAGGCCTCCTCCTCCTCCTCCTCCTCCTCCTCCTCTTCCTCCTCCTCCTCCTCCTCCTCCTCCTCTTCCTCCTCCTCCTCCTCCTCCTCCTCCTCAACACCAGTATCGGCGGTGTGCCTCCACCGGAGGAAGAAGATCCCGATCTCGGTGATGGTGGTACTATTCTGTCTTCCAGGGTGGCCGAGATAGTACCACCGACACCGAAATCCAGGATTTTCTTCCCCCTGTGTGGGCAAACCCCTGTGTTGGTGTTGGTGCCCATTTCCAGGCCTCCAATTCCGGGCCGGCTTCAGATCGGCGGCGGCGAGCGAGGGGGGGAAGTGAGAAGGGGAAGGCAGCGGGACTTCTCAGAAGCCCTCGCGCCTTCTGAGAATTTTTTTGGTGTCTTCTGGGAAGGCTTCGACCACTTCTCAGAAGGCCAGGGCACCTCCCAGCCTTCTGAGAAGGCCCGCCCCTTCTCACTTCCTCCCGCGCTCGCCGCCGGTCAGAGACATGATGCGAATGCTGTTTCTTGTTTTTCCCTCTCCTCTCTGGCCGTTTCGCGGCTGCCTCGTCCCTTCTTACCCCTCCTCTGCCTTCGCCGCGCTGCGCTATGCGGACGCGTCCACCGCTGCGAGCCCGAGCGCTTGTTGGACTCAGCTCGCCGCAGACCAAACCGTTCTCCCTTCATGCGATCGTTTTCTTATTGAATTTATTGCTTGGCCGATCGGCGCGGGCCCCGGCGCCCCGTCCCTTTACTTATTGTTCTTCCCTTACTTACTTTACTTACTTATTGTTCTTCCTTTACTTCTTCTATTGTTCTTCCTTTACTTATTGCTATTGACTGTTCTTCCTTTACTGGTTGTCGGGCCCCGGCGCCCCCTCCCCCCTCCATGGAGTGGATCTTGGCTCTTCTGGGGCGCCTGTTGCACGCAGGTGGAGCCTCCCCCACAGGACGCGCTGCGGCAAGCAACCGCCGTGAGCGGAGGTCTGCAGCCAGACCCCCCCCCTCCCCCCCCTTTCCCCCCGTTCCGCCCAGTGTCGAGATGCCGAACCCTCTCGGGATCTTTTTCGCATTCTTCGGTGATGACCAGGGTTGTCCGGCGGGGTGGGGGGCGGGGAGGTGCCGGCCGATAGCCTACGTTTTTCGCCTGGGCAGTCCCACGTGTGCCCGCGCGCACCAGTGCCGTGCTCCCCCTGCGGACCGTAGCGAGCGACAAGGTCGGGTTTCTTGGGGGGGGGAGGGGGAAGGGGCGGGCCCGATAACCCACCCGGAGGAGGAGGAGGAGGAGGAGGAGGAGGAGGAGGAGGCGAGGAGCGAGGAGGAGGAGGAGGAGGTTGGAGTGAGGAGGAGGTCAGGAGGAGGGGATGTGCGGAGGGGAGGGGGTAGGAGAGGCGGCGGGAGGATGATGGAGTGAGAGGGGAGGAGGTGAGGAGGCGAGGAGGGAGGGAGGATGGAGGCGGAGGGTAGGGGGGAGGAGGGAGGATGAGGAGGAGGGAGGAGGGAGGAGGGCGGAGGGGTGGTGGGGAGGTAGGAGGGGTGGAGGGAGGAGGGAGTACGCGTCTTTTGGGATGAGGAGGAGGAGGCTCCTTCGGCTGGGACCCCGCCACACTAACATCCTCCCCTGCCCGCCCCTCTCGCCCTGCAGAAGCGAGCGCACGCAGGCGCGGGCCCGCGTCCGCCGACGCCATCGGGCGCCCGCGCACTTCGCGGGCCCTCCAATACGGGGCGCGTCCCCGCAGGGCGTCGCGGGCGGCCTCGCCCGCGGGGACCTACTCCTTCGGGTCCACGGGCGCCTGCGCACGGTGCGCATCGGCGCTTTTCGCTCGCCTGCTCGCACCGCCCCGCCGCGTGCCGCCGCCCCGCTCGCGCCTGCCGCGCGGCGGCGACGTACGTCTGACGACGTATCTCGCACGACGCGACGGATCGACTGGACGACGTGTCGACGATGCGACGACGACGACGACGACGACCGACGGACGACCCGACGGACGCCGACGACGACGACGACGCTCGATACGACGACGACGACGACGACGACGACGACGACGACGACGACGACGACGATGACGCCGACGACGACGACGACGACGACGACGACGACGACGACGACGACGGCGCGCCGACGACGACGACGACGGGCGACGGCGGTGGCGGCGGCGGCGACGGCGACGGCGACGGCGGCGACGGCGTCGGCGGCGGCGCACGGCGCACGGCGCACGTCGGGCACGCGCAGAGGGGTGTAGGGGGAGGGGGGAAGGATTCTCAGAAGGAGGCTGCTTCTAAGACGCCTTCCCCCCTCCCTCTACCCCGCTCTGCGCGCCGCCAAGTACGGCGCACGGCGCACGGCGCACGGCGCACGGCGCAAGTCAAGCCGCCGCGCTTCGGGGTCTTTGGGGCGAAGGTTCGACCGACGCGATCTACCATGGCCGCCCCCTCTCGGAATCCCTTCGGATTTCTTCCAAGAGCTTCTTGGAGTGCTTTTAGGGTGTTTTTGTGGTCTTTAGCTGTCCTGGTGGCCTCTTGGGACGTCGCGTGTGCCTCTGGGGAGCATCTTGGGGCCTTTTGGGGGTCTCTTGGGAGCCTCTTGGGGGCATCATCTTGGAGGATATCGATCAAATGAGGGGGGCTCCTTAATGTGGGTCCGCACCCCAGGAGGCCAACACCTAAGTCAAATCAATGATTTAGGTCTTCTCGCCGGAGCCTTGGGGCGTTTTGGGTGCCTCTGGGGGGCCTCTTAGGGGTCTCTTGGGGGTCTCCTGGGGGTCTCTACAGACAGTCAGATCAAGTTAGTACGATTTGCCTGTACTGGAAGCGTGACTGCATCCACGGATGACCGGGCTCTGGACCTCAAGCAGGCGCTGGCGATGACGACGACGCCGGCGTCGGCGAGGTCCAGTGATCAGACCGCGCGACGGCCACAACGTCGGAACCCAGAGGAGCAGCTCAGCAGGGTTTGAGGAGCTGCCCGAGGAAGGTCTTGAAGGAACCGCCCGAGCAACGTTCTGGAAGGAGCGCCTGCTCCGCGCCCCTGCGTGAGTCGTCCTCGGAGGCCTTCGCTGCCTTGACTTAGAATATTTTACAAGGGTACAGTATTCCGACAGTCAGGAGGGATAAAACACACACACAGACACAATTAATCGTCGATTCCCCAGAAAAAATGTGAATCTATGGGAAGCGGGGGGGAAGGCAACAGCCCAGAACATATGGGAAAATGTGGGGAATCCTTTTATCTGTGTGTATTTATCTGTGTGCCCCAGGGCCCCTTCAAACAGGATCTGTGCCACACGCTTCCTTTCCCCACCATCCGGATCCGCCTGAAACCGATCGGCAGCGCATGGGATCCGTCCTACAGGCATCGAGTCCGCATGGGATCGGCAGCGGACCCGTGCCCCGATCCGTGCCCGGACCTGCCGCCCGAGGCGGGGCGGGCACTCCCGACCGGGGGGGGCCCCCGTCGACGCCTGCGGGGGCCCCTGCATGCGTTTTTTCGGGCGCCCGGCGCTGCACCCATGGATGGGCTTGTTTCCCACCACCACCACCATGAGTGGGAGGGGGAGGGTCTCCTCCTCCTCCTCCTCCTCCTCCTCCTCCTCCTCCTCTTCCTCCTCCTCCTCCTCCACCTTCTTCCCCCCTCCAACTTATGGTGGTGGTGGTGGTGGAAAACAGGTCCATCACCCATCGCCCGTGACCCGCCGCCGAACCCCTCTTCCCCAGGCCGGCTGGCTGCGCCGACGGCCCCTGGCCTGGCTGCATCGACAGTCTGGCGCCTTCGTGCGATTCCAGATTT